CTCAAAACAACCCCTCTCCCCAAAAAACCCATCCCTTTCTGAAGCTGTTTTGATATGTGACACTTAGCAATATCACGACGAGGAGTCCTGTGGCACCTTATAGACTAACTGAAGTGTAGGAGCATAAGCTTTCGTGGGCAAAGACCCACTTCGTCAGATGCATGTAGTGGAAATTTCCAGAGGCAGGAATAAATATGCAGCTCAAAACAACCCCTCTCCCCAAAAAACCCATCCCTTTCTGAAGCTGTTTTGATATGTGACACTTAGCAATATCACGACGAGGAGTCCTGTGGCACCTTATAGACTAACTGAAGTGTAGGAGCATAAGCTTTCGTGGGCAAAGACCCACTTCGTCAGATGCATGTAGTGGAAATTTCCAGAGGCAGGAATAAATATGCAGGCCAGGACCAGGCTGGAGATGACCAGGTGGATCCAATCAAGGAGGAATATCACGTGAATGAGTAAGCACAATATCACCATTGGTTGGGCCAATCTACTGAATAGATATTTGTGCAGCATGCTAGTACATGTAAATTCCAGGACTTCCCCTGAAATATCCAGCCAGAGCTGGTAGTATTTGGGAACTGACAAAATGCTTGTTAGAGCAGTATGTTGCATCACTAATGGGCAGCATATCCTTGACAACTTTGAGCAGGTTTAGAAGGCCATCATCCCTACAGCTAATCAGTGGGACTGTTTCTCATGTTTGGATAAATGAATCATGGGATGATCAAAAGGTGAGAATGGCCATAGACTGGCTACTTCTGAAATGCAGACAAGCCCCTTTCATTCTATGCTCTGGGCCTAAGGAGAGAAGCTTGTGCTAGTCTAAGAAATGCAAAACACAAACACATAAGAACATAAGAACGGCCGTACTGGGTCAGACCAAAGGTCCATCTAGCCCAGTATCCTGTCTACCGACAGTGGCCAGCACCAGGTGCCTCAGAGAGGGTGGAGTTATTTTTCCCGATGTGCATTAATTTACACTTATCCACATTAAATTTCATTTGCCATTTTGTTGCCCAATCACTAAGTTTGGTGAGATCTTGGGAGTCCCTCACAGTCTGCTTCTGTCTTGACTATCCTAAACAGTTTGGTATCATCTGCAAACTTTACTACCTCACTGCTTACCCCTTTCTCCAGATCATTTATGAATAAGTTGAAAAGGATTGGTCCCAGGACTGACCCTTGGGGTACACCACTAGTTACCACCCCTCTCCAATCTGAAAATTTACCATTTATTCCTACCCTTTGTTTCCTGTCTTTTAACCAGTTCTCAATCCAAGAAAGGACCTTCCCTCTTATCCCATGGCCTTGTAATTTACACACACAACACACACACAGTTAGTAAACATGTTTCAATCAGTACAAGACATTAACCCTCAAAACATGTTTTAGTGCATCCCTTATAAGAAGCAACCAGTATATCAGTGATGGACAGTTTTTTTTTTAATTAGTTAAAAATCTTTACACGGGAACTCTTCTCACTGGAGAACTCTAGTTAAAAACAGCCAAGGGGCACTTTCAATAAGATTTGGACCCATTCATGTATGTATCCATCTCAAACCCCACCCAGATCAATACTGACCAGACAGATCTAATAGCTGTGTAGCACCATTTAAAATGATTTGGTCTTAGGCCAGTTTCTAATGGACAAGTGTCCACATGACAAAGCGCAGCAATTGGCTTTTTTTTTTTTTTTGGCTGAGAAAGCAAGAACTTGACTAACAAAAAATGAACTACTCTCTCTGTGAGAAGTAATCCCTCCAAACACAGTATCTGGAAAAAAAAACTTTCTGCCCTATTTATAAACAGACTCATCTGTCCAGAATATTTCAAAAATATGAAATCTGCCTTCATTTTGCTTAAAAAAAAGACTTTCAGATGCAAGTTGTATAAAAATCTGCAAAGTGTGCACCTTGTATCACAGAAAGATGTTGTCATTCATCTGGCAAAAGACTTCCCTAAGACCTTTGACTTACTGCTTTATAAAGAATTTTAGAGTATTTAATTCATATAAATCAACAACCCTGCATTTGAAATCATCAACTTTCCGTTCTCTGATCATGAGACTTTTCTTGTTCATCTGACAGCTTTTAGCTTAGAAAGCTAGCAACTATTTAGCTTCATTAAAATTACAAATAGCTTAGCCAGGTCAATAGGTAAACAATACACAGAAGATGTAATCTAGACTGTTAGCAGACAACACAAGAATGCAGAACTGATGTGATATGTGAAACACAAGGTGGGTGAGGTAATATCTTTTATTGGAAAAATTTCTGTTGCAGAACAAGACACATTTTTGAGATACGCAGAGCTCTTCTTCAGGTCTGGGAAGGGTACCCAGGGCTTGTTCTCACAAGCAATAACGCAGCTGTGATACTGTAAGGCTGTGTCTACATTGGCACCCCTTTCCGGAAAAGGAATGTTAATGTAGCACTTTGGAATAGGCAAATCCGCGGGGGATTTAAATATCCCCCGCGGCATTTGCATTAACATGGCTGC